CACTCGACCATTACTCCATGCTCTGTTACCTTTCATAAATTTACATTCTCATTCTCAAATTTTAGATGATGAATATTTAGACAATGATAACAATAATTCTGAGATTTAATTTTGAGAACTCATCCACGTTAATATGAGGAGATGATTTGAGTAAAAAAGTAAGCTGTTACCAGAGGTAAAATAGATATGTCTTGAAGTTATGCAATCTTTTATACAGGTTCATGAGCTTTGTTCAATAGATGATGTTCAAGAATGGTATTCACAATTGAGATGAAAAATGGCCATCTTTCTTTTACCATTCGAAAAACCATTTATTGTTACCCCTTTGAGCCTATTATGATTTCTTTTTCTGAAGAACCCCAACTAAAGATCACTCTCTACACTGGGGGGTAATTTTTTAAAAAAAAATACATAAAAGGTCTCAAAGATGGAAAGAGAAAGAAAAGCAAAAGACAAAATAACATGCCACACATGATTTGGGATAACATAATGAGAATCCTTTGTGTGAGGAAAAAAAAAGTAGTGAAATGATGTGGGGGCAAAATACCAAGTTACATCAAATGATCCTTTGGTCTTGAACCTTTTTAATACATGTTTTGAGCCTATTATATCCATTTATTTTATGACCCCTCACCTTGACCTATATTATAACCTTGAAAAGTCTATTTGGATCAAGTGTGAATGCTCAAATTGAATGATCATATATTGGATGAAGGCATACTCATGATGAAACAATGGAATCATGCTACATTGCTCTAAAGTTTGATGTGTGGAAAGATATCAACAATGGATGAAAAATGAGAAAAAAAAAGAAGATGATGAAAAAAAATGAAAAAAAATAGAGAAAAAAAGAAAGAAAAAAAATGAGAAAATGAAAAAAAAAGATTCAAATTGAAAACCTGAAAAGGTGATTTAGGTAGAAAAAGATCATGTCAAATGGTTCACATGGGTAAGATCAAAGACATCTGAAGATCCCTCAAAGACTGAGGCAAAGTTCGCCAAGCTCAAAATGACTTCAACAGTAAATGGAATGAGTTTTTAAAAAAGAATCCTAGATTAATGTTGAGAATTGTCTGGATATCATTGTTTGAACATTGACCATTCATTTTCCCAATTGACATGTATCCATTTATTTTCTTTCCCACTTGTTGATACCAAAATAGATCTTCATTGATATCTTTACCATAAATTCACCTTATGTCTCTTATTGTTAGCATTCCTAGAATAAATCAAGGAAAAATGTATGGTGCATTATATTTGTCAAGAATTGAAATGAGATGAATGAATGATAATGTGCATAAAAAAGATCTTGCATTCGATTTAAGAAGAAAATCTAAGATTGGATGTTGGTAACAAAATGAAAAAATGTTAAAAACTAAAAGAGATGATTGAAGGAATATGATTGTGACAAATAGAGATATGATGATGCTTGACAAGAAAATGGACGATGGGCAAAATCTTGAAAAGTGTTATAACCAAGTGATGAGACAATGCATGAATGGTCGATATCACTTGCAAGTATGATTGAATGATGAAAATAATCAGTGGACAAAGTTTGTTTTGGAATGGTTAATACACCTATGAGTAATAACCCAGTGATGGTGGATGAAACTTATTCTGAAATCTATTAGTGTTAAGAAGTCCATGAATGGTGGTCAAGTGATGATCGATTGATGAAACTTGTTCCAAAGTATTGAGAAACTAAACAAGGAAAACATGTGAAATAGTGGAGTTTTGAGAGCAATATTACCATAATTATTTAGAATTTTGTGACATAGACGTCTGCATTACATGCATCATGGTGGCATAATTGCTTGAATAGTACATGCACATAATTTGATTAATTAAACTTTGTTTGGACATGCATGGCACTATGAGAATCTAGATTATTGCATTTGCATCATTAATAAGGCATTTGCATTTTTGGCCATAACATTCATTCATGCAAAATTTTGAGTCACTTGAAAAATAAATTGTAAATATTTTGATTTTTTGAGAACTCAAATGAGAATCTTTGAGGAGTGAAACCTTAAAGTTCATCGAATGTGAATCTTCGAACAAATGAAAAGTTTTGAACTTTTGGATGTGGATCTCCAAAATACAAAGTTTCAACCTTTTGGATATGAATTTCTAATGTTTTAAATGAGAGCCTTTGAACTTAGATGTGAAACTCTAAGTTTTATTGCATGTGAGCCTTTGAACTCAAATGAAAAGCTTTGAATTTTTGGATGTGAATTTCCAAAATTCAAATGAAAAGCTTTAGATTTTTGGATATGAATTTCAAGTTTGCCAAATGAGAACCTTTGAAAAGCCTTGAACTTTTGGATGTGAGCCTCCAAAATTCAAATGAGGATCTTTGATGCAAGTCTTGCAAGTTGCAAATGCAAATCTTGAGATCTTGCAAATTTGAATGAAACTAAAAATTTGAGAATCAAATTTTAGTAAATTCTTATGAAGTTGAAAGGTTCTTGTGAATCTGAACCTATGAATGTTGAACTCAAATTGTGAATCTGAGTTCACATTACAAAATTCCTTCAATCATGATATATAACTTCTTAGGACATGATTGTCAATGAGCAATTTATTTTTCCAAAGTTTCGTTGCCTCTGTTTAGAGGAGCAATTTACTTTCCAAAAGTTAAGCCTCTGATTAGGAGAGCCATTTACTTTTCAAAAGTCGTTGAGCCTCTGATTAGAAGAGCTTTAGTTATTTTCAAAGTGGTTGAGCTTCTGATTAGAGGAGCCATTTACTTTTCAAAGTTATTGAGCCTCTGATTAGAGGAGCCATTTATTTTTCCAAAGTCATTGAGCCTCTGATTAGAGGAGCCATTTACTTTTCAAAGTTGTTGAGCCTCTGATTAGAGGAGCCATTTATTTTTTCAAAATCGTTGAGCCTTTTATTAGAGGAGCTTTGTTTATGTTTCTCAAAGTCATTAAGCCTCTACTTAGAGGAGCTTTGATCAAAATTTTAATAAGTAAAAAAAAAATAAAACAAAAAAAGTGTCAAGTTGAGTCTTGAATGGGTGTCTACGTCTTTGCACAATTTTTGCTTCGCAAAAAATGTGCAAAGAGGGGCAGCTGTAGACACCTTATTTAGTCCGAACCCAAGCCCATTGGACCTGGTCTAATAGGATTTGGGTCTAAGTCCATTGGACCCGATTTAGGATCCAATTAGCTTGCCCCAATGGACTTTTATTTTTAGTTTCATTATATATATTTATTTTTATTTTTATTTTTTTATCTATTAATATTTTTATTATTTATCTGCTTTTATTTTTTATTATTATCATTTATCTATTTCTTTTATTTATCTAATTTTTTTGTTATCTATTAATATATTTATTTTTTTTATTTTGATTAATTTTTGGTTAAGATTAGGATAAAAAAATTGGAATGAATTTGGCTGTGATTTGGGAATTGACAGAGTTGGGATTGGATTCAAAGATTGAATCCAAATCCCAGAAAGAGTTGAGATTGATTAGAAATTATTCTGATCAATCCCTATAAATAGATGCTGGAAGAACAGAAGAAAACACACAGAGAAACACAGACACAGAGAAGAAACAGAAGCTAAAAAATGGTTTGGTGTGTTAGAATCCCGAGCCGAGTCTTCGAGCTATTTTTCTTCCTCAAGCCGAGCCGAGCCGAACCGTTCTCAGGTTTTTTTTTTTTCGTTATTTATTTATTTATTGTTATTATTATTATTATTATTATTATTAGATTAGAATTGTTTAATATTCTTTTATTTTTATCTTTATTTTACTTTTCTTTATTTTTATTTTTATTTTATTATTTTATTTTCTTTAAATAAAATTAAAAAATATATATTTTTGAGGAAAAGTTGAAAGTATCAATTTTCTTTAAGAATAAATTAAAAAAAAAATGGTTTTTTTTTAGGAAAAGTTAAAAGTATCAATTTTTCTCGAAATTAAAGTTTCTAAAAAATATTTTGGGGAGAAGTTGAAAGTATCAATTTTTCTTTTGCAAAAGCGATCATTTTTCTTTTCTTTTTTTATTTCTTTGGATTTTCTTTAATGTTAAATAATCTAACGACGGAGCCTCTGCAAGTGAAACAGTAGTTTCTTGCATACTTTTGAGGTGAGGAAATTTTTTCAATTTTCTGCTAAAAGTATTAGAGTCAATTGAGAATAATTTCCAATAACTAATTACTTGATAAATTTTTAAGGCTTATTGAATAACATAAAATTAAGTTGGTACCATCTTTTGATGAGCGTTGTGAGGGTGTTATAACCTTCCCCACACGTAATCAAACTCCTTAACCATGTTCTGATTAGTAGACTTGAACCTATTCTTTTAGGGACCCTTAAACTTAGGTATTCCTTGAAATGATAGATTCCTTAGGTGACCAATCGCACCTAGATAAAAAAGATTGATAGCGACTCCTTAAGTCAATGTCTAGCAATAGATCCTCGGATCTAAACGTTATGACAATTGACAAAACAACTTTTTTAACATAATTATATCCATCACAGTATCAATCAATAAAAATACGTGTCTCAAACTAATCATTCGCAGTATCAGTCATTGAAACAACGTTTATACCTCAAATAAATTTGAGTGACTTGGGTTTTAGTTTTTAAATATAAACATCAAATCTCAAATAAATTTGCAATCCAAAATCATGGGAGATAAAAATGGAAGTATATTACCTAAAATACTATAATTAACTAATTATAATTTAAAATTATGTAAAATTTATCAAAATTTTATATAAAAGTAATACTTACAAATGTGAATTCTTATATAATACTTTATTATAATTAAAGAATTATAAAATTATGATAAGAAAATTATAAGTGAAACATCCGAATAAAAAAAAGAGCGAAGTGAGCCGAATAACTATAGAAATAGATTAGAAAAGGACGTATGAGTAGTTCACTGTTTAGATGCATATAATATTACAATGGAACGATCAATACAACTTTCCCTAATTAGACGTACAACTCACAATTAATAAAAAAGTTTACAAAAGCCAATCGAAAACACATAACACATAGATATATTTGGATAATCAAATGATCACATCCCTTAGTTTTATTCATTCTTTTACTCAGGTCTCATGACACTTAACAAGTTGAACGCAATCTCTTGGAATAGCTATGGCGCAAAGAGGATTCTTCATCTCACTGGACAGCTTAAGCACCTCGGTTAAGTCGACTAGATTAGCTACGTCTTGAACCCATTTGAAATGTTGAACCAACTTAGCCACCCAAAGGCCCACAGTCACAAGCCCTTGGTTCTTGCCAGGGCAGACCCTTCTCCCAGCCCCAAATGGTGCAAGCCGTAGGTCACCACCCTTCATATCCACCTCAGCTCCACCTAGAGACTTGACAAACCTCTCTGGCTTGAAAAGAAGTGGATCCTCCCAGACATTTGGGTCATGGGTTATGGCCCACATGTTGACCATGGCTGTCGTGTCGGACGGGACCACCATGCCATTGCTGAGTTGGACATCTGACGTGGACAGCCTGGCCCATGAAAGGAGGGGTCCGGGTGGGTGTAACCTTAGTGTTTCTTTGACCACTGCTTGAAGGTAGGGTAATTTAGCCACATCAGCATCTGTCACTCTCTTGTCTCCTACGGCAAGAACAAGTTCTTGGTGAAGCTTGGATTGAATATCAGGGTTCAATACCAACTCGGCCATGATCCATTCAGTTAAAAGCGCAGTTGTATCAGTACCGCGAAAGATCATTTCCTGTAAACAGAAGCTAACTCATTAAGTGAACTCAGTGTTTTGCGAAAAAGCTTCGAAATAATTAAAGAAGAAAGTACTGACCCACAAGACTGCTACCATGTCCTCCTCGTTGAGCTTCTCGTTACCATCCAAAGATAGCAACACGTCAACAAAATCTGAACTATCAGCAACCTTTTCTGACTGATTGATACGGTGTTCATCAATGATTTGGTTAACTAGTTTTTTCACTCGGGGGACAAGAATCGAACAGCGTTCATTGATTTGAAAAGGGTCATAAAAATAACTCAGCCAAGGCAGATAATCCGACCAGTTAAAAGCACCCAATATATCAAACCCTTCTCTGACAATCTCTTGCAACTCTTTAGCTTCATCATCGTTTTGTGTCAGTTCATATCTTTTACCGAATACTGTTCCCATTATATTGTTAAGAGCTGCAGCTTGAAGATGTTTGCGTAAAACAACATAGCCATTGGATGATTGTTCTGTAGCAATGGCACATAACATGGCGACACAGTCTAGTTGGCGACAACTTTCATGGGCTGCAATGCGCTTTGGAGCAAACAGGTGAGTCGATGAAATCCTTCTTAGAAGCCGCCAGTAGGTACCATTGGGAGCAAAACCAATGGCACGGCTAAACATTAACTTATTTGCTGAGGTTTTAATAGGACGGTTGGCAAAGTGAGGAGAGGTCAAGATTTCACGAGCAATTTGGGGATCAGATGTTACGACAGCAGGAGCTGATCCAAGGCTAAAAGCCATGACCTTGGTAGCGGCTTGTTTTGAAGCCATGCAAGAAAGGGTTCTATGAGCCAAACCGGGGCTTAGGCTGAATAAACTGCCAAAGAAAGGCAGGCCTCTGGGTCCAGGGATTGGGACCTGACCTATTTGGTTTCTGCCATTTTTCCAGGCTAAACCCCCAGGGGATAAAGCCCAAGTTAATATCGCAGCTAATAAAACTGCCATGAAAATGCTGAATAAAACGAAACCATTAAGCAAATTCTGTGTTTCTACAAAAGCAGGGAGTGTTGAGACCCACCAGGTCTTGTCAATAGAAATTGGAGCCAAACCCATTGTTCAGGAAGAATGAGGGAGCTATAGCCAGCTAGGGAGAGGTTGGAGATCTGCAAGAAGGCACTTGGGGCTTGCCTGGTGAGAGTGGGCAGTGGCTTAAATAGGCGTTTGCATGTGAAATTGGAGACATTTAAGCGTAGCAAAGTGAAAGATCTAATTAATTAATCGTTTTTTTTTTTTTTTTTGCTATGATAATAACTATTGCTAAAGGTATTAATCAAACAGGTAAGTTGATTAGGCTATATCATTAAATATTTTTTTATATACAAGAGATTACAAGTTGAGAATAAGATGAATTATAAATATTAAATTTTAAAATTTAAAATTATTGAATACCACTGTTTAAAAATATTAATTAATCAATTGAAATTCTCAAATTACGTTTGGCATGTAGGATTAATTGAAAGATAAGATATTAATCATCTTATTATATGTTTATCATGCATTTAAATAAAAGAATTGGATTATTGAAAGGATTAGATATCCTATGTCAATAGAATAACTCTATCCTTTGAAAAAGTAAATGATTATTTTTAATCCATAGGATTAAACTTACATGTCTTATTGTATTTTTAAAAATTATATCAATAATTTAAATTATATAAACTTTAAAAAAGAATAATTTTGATTAATAAATAAATTATCTTATCTTAATTTTTGCTAACATCAAACATAAAATAAAATAAAATAATTTAATTTAATCTTATTTATAATATTATTTTATATTATTTTATCATAATCTTATATATTAAACATAGTCTCAATTTGTTAAATTTCTTATATAATGTGAAAGGATACTTTTTGAAAGATGGGAAAGGATCTTTTATTTCTTCCGCAATAGTTCCCACTAGTCAGAGAGGTGAGGGTCAAATGTGATCAGCCGCTGCCATTTTACTCTAACTCCTTTCTTGGCTGTGAGAATTCAAAGACATGTTTTGAACGGAAACAAAAATAATAATAGTAATTTTACTAAATCAGCTATTATTGGTGTGGTCCGTCGCCAGTTATGATCGGATAACCTTTGTCAATTTAATTATTAATCAAACTGTTTAAACAATAGAAAAAAGTACTTGTTTAATTATATTATTGTTTTTGAAATAGAACACACAATATGTTAAAACCAATTAGTTAGTAATAAGTTATATTTTCCCTCCGATCTATCAAAAGTATTTTATATATTGAAAAGGTTCAAGGGAAACGTGCATGTATCCTACTCCCTTGGTATCATCTTATTCAAATGATATTCGTTGGGATACCTATCTAAACCGGTAACTCTGTCTTTTTGAACTAAAGATTAATTACATTAACAAAATATAGAGTTTATAGGAAAATGACCTCCAATCTCAGTGGATTGAAAACAAAAATCCTATAAATTTTTAAGGTTACCATATATATATATATATATATATATATATATCCAAGTTACTGCTTGAACATGAAAGTTTATCTGAAATTTTAAAAGGTTTTGAACATGAATATCTATACTCGGTAAATGAGTTTGAACTTAAATTGAAAACTCATTTAAAATGGACCGGATCTTTGGCATAACATTTAATATCTAATCTCAATCAGACCGGCCCTATAGTTATTTATATATTTTTTATATTTACAATTATATTATATAAAAATAAATAGATAATTAAACAATATGTGTATATATAAATTAATACCCTATGCCAACATATACCCAATCCCATTCAAACACCAAATTAACAAACTCATTTTTTAGGCTTTTATTTTTTTTATTATTTATTTTATCATAATTAATATTTATTAAAAATTTTATTTTTACTTTTTATTTAAAAGAATAAAATCTAAGCGAACTTAGACAGCTTTTTTTAAAAATGAATTAAACCTCTAAGCAAATGAGGTTCATATTTTTGGTGGGATAGAGCCTATGCAAATCTAAAATTTATTAATATCTTCTCTAAGCTTGACCCGACTCATAAACAAATCTATTGATATAATCACTCTCATTTTATCAACGTATTAAAGATTCATGCAAGAGGGATTCAGTCATAAATCACACCATGAGGTCGCTCCTAAATGGAACCTGACTAAAACATTTTGAGACTTTATATATATATATATATATATATATATATATATAAGATATTCTGGCAAGGTTATTGGAATTTCTATAAGCAAGTTTATCGTTGATAGCTCCTTTTCCACCTTTAAGCCTTCAAAGGTTTCCTTTTCTCTGATTTTTTTTTTGCTATGACACCTAATCCAAAATTGCTGGAACTTTACTTTTATGACCACGAAAACAAAGTGTTACTGTTAAATTAAAAGATATTTGTTATTTTAATTATTTTACCTTAAATGTATTAAGGGTTAATTCTGAATATATATTATAATTCTCAATGCATTTGGTAGCACCATTAGTTTTAATGCCAAAAAAATGACATTATTATTTGAAATGATAAAATTAAAGTACTGTGCAGCCCATAAAAAAAAAAAAAAAGCTTAATGATATTAAGGCGATTGATCACTTAACAGTCATAAAGAGAATGATACCATCAGACAACCCAATGGTTTAGTAAAAAAAATTAGTGAGGTCATATATCAATTCACATTATGTAACTAATTAAACACAATATCTTATACCTTGTATCATTAGAAAATATTCTTTTGTTTAATTCAAAAGTTTTAAATTTGCAAAACTTAGATATGATATTTGATTATTTCAAAGAAGTTACTACAAAAACAATAAGATATTATCTCATAATATGGTATAATTATTCATTAATTTTATGATTTAAGTATGGATTTTGTTTTGTTTTCATTTTGTTATTATCTTCTTCTAATGAACAAAAGGAAAAAATGTATTTAGATATAAGAGTAAAAAATATTTTTGAATAATTAAAATTAAAAAATTAATCTTTGTAATAATATATAAGTTACGCTATATTAGTTTTAGAAAGAATAATTATATTTAAAGATATATCATGTTTTAGGTTTTCATCAACTATTCTTATTAGTATATGATCATATTGTACCAAAATAAAAATGTATAAGTATATATACTTGTAATAAAAATATAAAAAAAATTTAATATTCGTTATAATTATAAAAAACTTAAATTTTACTTGTTTAACCTTTTTTAGATTTTATTTAATTTTAGTGAAGTCAATAGAAAAAATATAAGAAAAATTATGACATACCTATACAAACTTATTTTTTATAAAACTGAGTTAATTGACTTATTAGCTGCACCCACGTTGGTAACATTAGTTAAGATATTATTTATACTAAGAATTATTTAGTGTTTTTTCTTTTTTTTTTTTTGGTCTTTTGAAGATAATTAATGCATTGTTTATAAAAGCAAATAAGCCATTGGTATTCATTAGTTAATTAAGCCGGTTGGATATGCATAAAAATTAGAAAGAAAAATGTTAACTAGAAATTAAATTAAATTAATTTACACAATTACATTTTAAAAATAATATTTAATAATTTTAAATTTTAACACTTATAATTTTTTTTTCTATCACCAAATTATAACTTTTATATTTTTATAGTAAAACAAAGCCACGTTGTCCCTTTCCATAACTTTCTACGAAGTTTGCAAATGTCAATAATTCACTATAGATATGAATCCAAGAACGGGCATTTGTGCCCACAAATGTCGGATCCTCGGTTACATTACAAACTACGAAAACCACACGAATGGAGCGTGTGTTAGGGCGGGAAGCGTGGTGAAAGTGGTTGGTGGCGTGTTGGTTTAGGTTTTGATGAGTTTCAAGGCGCCTTCGCGTATATCCATTCTCATCGTTTTGCTGCAGCCAATGAAAATAAGGGTTTTCTACGTTCACGAGGTTCCCAATCTCAGCTCATATGCACTCTCATTCCCATGCTTGCTTGCGTGATTTTCAAGAAAAATCTTAAACCAACTAGGATAGCTTTTAGCTAAGCAGCAGATATGTGGCATCATCTCTTGTTTCTTTGATTTGGTTTTGGTGTGGTTTTGCTTGGAGCAGGCAAACCTAGTGACTACGGATCTGCTCCTCGATCTAAAGCCTGCAGAGACAGAGGAGCCAGTGTAAGCATAAATTTTAAATTTCAAGCATTATATGTAAGTATTAAAATATCAATCAATTAATTTAAGTATTTGGTAGACATAATTATCAAATGAAAGCAATTGTAATTTTATAAAGAGAATAAATTTTTCTTTCTGTTTTTTTTTTTTTAATTGGCAGTTTTCAATGGATACAAACGGTACTTAAACGTGAAGAAGGAACAATTTATATTAAAATCTTAGAAACCTTCCTGTAAAATGTTTATCAGGCCACGTCTTACACAATCGCCAAATCACAATTAGTTATTTGAACTCCCATATTTTTCTCATATCAAAACTAAATTTATTAACCCATTTTATTAAACTATAAAATCACCAATAGTATCCATTTACTGAAAAATTGTAATATTCTCTCACTTAAGTAATATTAATTAGGTTGTTTGATTTTAAAAAAATATAATTTAGAAAACAAGACTTTGAGTTGATTAATTTTACTTTGATGTGGCCATAGATTTAAAAAACAATTTAACCCTTACGACAACATCTTAATGATTTTATCCAATAAAACCATTTAATAACGAATCGTGGTAACTTTTATGCCCTTTATCTACATAAGATTAATCCATGATCACTAGTACCAAAGACTTTATCGATAATGAATTTTAGTGTAAATGTGTAGCAAGAAAATAACACATAAATGTGATCTCACTTTGTTATTTTCATTGTCAGTCCTTTTGCTAGTTTCTCTAAAATTGTTAAAAAATCTCTATGACATCCAAATGTGCCTATATCTCTCATCTTTATCCTTGAGATTACTTGCTCATACCATTTATGAGACATATCCAAATGACAGTAAAGTTGTACTTAAGACAAATACCAAGTTTTAAGATTTATAATATGACATGTCAATATGATATGTGCACATGCAATCAGATAAACATACATACAAATAACAACTATGATATATATATAAAATAAT